ACAATATATCAAACACCAACCCTTACATAGCCCTTTTTATAAATCGTCTCCAACAATAGAAGCTTAAAAGTAATGTTGGAAACAACTGACGAAGCAAAAAGGAAGGCTTCTTCAGGTGGAGGCTCCAGTAAAAGGCCTCAAAATGAGCCAAACCAAGACAATATCTTGAATTTCCTGAAGTCAATGTATAGAAAACTAGCCTTGACTTTGTTGAAGATGATCCCAAGTGCTCTTAAGATTACTGTGATGGATAGCCAAAGTTCTGAACTAACAAGTGGTAGCGTCAACTTTAGAAATATAGTGAAAAAGACGGCAAAGATTAGGGGCCTTGATAAGTGTGTTTTTGCACACTTATTTAGGTCACAAACATGACTTAATAAGGAGAAAAATGATTGAATTGTAACTTAATCTCATTATATTTGTGAATTGTAGGGAACACCGATGAACATGGTGAAATTCAGAAGAAAAGAGCCGAAAAAAGACTAAAATGGAGCAAAGTGATAGTTCGAGAACCAGGTTGCAAATAATCCATAGATGAGATAAGAAATGGAATGACGATTCAAGAGTGTTAGAGGTTAATCGGATGAGGAAAGGAGTCAAGAGGTGAAATATGATCGAAGTATTATCAAGTATCAACTTTCAGGCGAAAAAGCTATGCTCGTGATTTTTAATCTCTACTTGAGATCCATTTTTGACATAGTAAACATCAGAATTTGAGGAAGCCTATTTCTATCAAAAGTGTATATCTTTGAGTTTTCTTCACAATGAACTTTGAATCACTTCAATCGGAGATTAGAAGAGAAAGTTATGATCAAAATACTAAAAACTGTCCAGCGGAAAGAATGGTATAACTATGCGGTCGCATAGTATAAATTCTATGCGGTCGCATAGAAGCCTCTCGAGAACTTTTTCTAAAAAATTTTTTACTCATGCGACAGCATAGAAATGTACTATGCGGTCGCATAGAACAAGATTCGAGGTCGATTCAGCAGTTTTCTTATTTCGCCGAAACTCTTATGGAAAGGAGATTTTTAGGGTTCCATATAAACTAAAACTCAACCAGAATGAGGGGACGCCACTTTTACAGAATTGGAGGGGATTATACACAATTTTGGAGGATTTGGAGAGGAAGAACAAGGCAAAAACAAGGCAATCCACTTCAAAATTCAAGATTTCATTTCAAGAATCAATTGGGTGATATTCTTCCTTGGTTTTAATTATTGTTTTTTTTCTTTATTTCCCATTATGTTAGGTTAGATTTTCATGTGCTAGGATTTGCGATGAACCTTACATTATGAACCCTTAATCTTGAATTTTATTTATTTGACGTTAAAACATGTTCTTAATTATTGAATGATTGGCATGAATTTTATTTTCTCTACAATTATCTGCGCAATAGTTGTATGAGATTTGTGGCTTGTTTTACCCTCGAGAGATGGAAAATGAGTTAGACATTATGTTAATTGTCGTAAAGTTCGATAGGGGATAGAAATATACCGCTATACTTTATGTGATCTTTAAGTATTCATAAATTTTTAATGCATTTTTATATGTTCGCATCCGTCATAGAAATATAGTCGGATCGCATGTGAAAATAAGTTTAATTCTACTCTTGAGAGATTGTTAAACAAATTAGGAATATTGGTCTTCATAATTGAATCGTGTTGTCAATTTTATAAAATTCGGATTAAAGAGGATTGATATAAGGGGATTCGGGATCCTAGTACGCATTTCATTATCATATTTTTATAAAACTTGCATTTAGTTATAATCACGCATTTAATTTAGTTAATTTAGGCTTTATATTTATAAGTAGGTTATTAAATCACAATTTAGTTTGCGAAAATATCAAGAATTTCTATTGTTTCGATTAAGGTGACGATAGGTAAAATTGAACTAATCAATCTCTGTGGGACGATATTCGGACTCATTTAATCTACTTTATTACTTGTTAACGAACCGTACACTTGCGATAATTTAAATCGAAAGAAATATTTCGCGAAAAAGGCCTGTACTTTTATCGGGTCAACATACATGACCATGGAGTTGGATAATGTCTTGATGGAAGATATAACGCATAGAAGGTTATCGAGGAGTTGGTTACTTCAGTTGATGCTATGAGAAAAGAGGGTGATGCCCTGATGAAAGAGTTAATGGCTCTAAAGACGGAAGCTAGTTGGATGATAGACCAAATTATCGCTATCATCACCTCTGCTTAGGCTTTGAGGAAGAGGTTCTGATGCAAAGAAGCAAAATACAAAGAGCTCCAAGAAGTATGCGTCGCTTTGGAGAAGATTACCTGATCTCATCAACGGAGAAAGAATGTGGAGTAACAACTAAAGGGTAAGGAGGATCGAATGTTGCTACTGTCTAACGAGGCTTTCGCTCATAAGGCTAATCTCGAAGCGAACTGCAGAAAATGTACTCAGTTGAAGTTCAAGTGCAGCAAGTTCAAAGTTAAAGACGAGGTGGTTGGGACCAAAGTAGTGGCCAAGTGCACAGAAAATTTCCACTGTACCTCGAACTACAATGTAATGGATGAGCATTTCAAGGCTAGTGGATTAGGATATTGAAGTCCCTTGCATGCTTAAAGCTTTCAGAGTTAAACCTTAGGTTATTCTCTGAGCTAGGTGTCGATGATCTAGAGGAGATTGACTCTGTAGACTTCAATGCCCTAAAATCCATTGAAGATCTTGTGAGAATGGTGTTGAGGCAACATGCAAAGTATTAATACTCTATTCAACGAATTATTATTTGCCATAACAATATAGCAACAAGAGAATGCTTTAATAATGCAAAGAATGTAGTTGATACAAAGAGTGACTTATTTAGTCCATGTTTGATGGTCATTATTCGGCCAAAAAATGTTTTGAATAGTGATTTTTAGAACAATGTGTTATTAAAATAAGAAAAAATCTGAGTTCACGTACAGAATATTTTGATATGAACATGTGATTGAAATGAACAAGTTGAAGAAAGTGTTTTCAAATAATGGTTATCATATGAATTAGTGCTATTATATAAAAGGAAATTTTTTTAAGTAAAAGTTCAAGTATCACACATTTCAAAATCAAGAAAACAAGTATCAAACTTCAAAAATTAGATTTTTATTAAAATTTATTTATAATCTAATTAATCAATTAATTATATTTATATCACAAATCTATATAATTTGATCACAATTAACAATTTAATTAGTCATTTATTATTTTTTGGTCACAAATAAAAAATTTTATGTCACAAATTATTTCACGATCATGATTTAAAAATTTTATAGGTCACAGTTTGTTCATCGGTCACAAATCAAAAAAATAATTAGCCACAAATTTTTTTAGTCAAAACTTATCAAATTATTGGTCACATCTTATTTTTCAATCACAAATCAAAAATTTTATAGGTCACGGATTATTTTTCTTTCACGAATCAAAACTTTTATAGGTCACAAATTTTTTATCGGTCACGGAATCAAAACTTTTATTGGTCACAACTCATTTATTCATTGCAAATTGTTAGATTGATTGGTAATGATTTTTTTTTTTAAATCACAACTTAATCAATTGTTAGTCACAATTACAATTTTTAAGTCATATATTACAAATTAACTAATTATTAGTCACAATCGATCAAATAATTGGTCACAAGCATCCAACCACATCTTATTCCACCCACTACCATCGCTACGACAACCACCGTCACTATCACTATTACCACCACCAAATCTCGTAAAACCACAATAGCCGTCCAAACACCAACAAAACCATTGCAACATCACCTAACCACCAACTAAATCATCGCCACCACCAACAAACCATTGCCACTACAACATACCCAAACCAAACCAAACCAATGCCACTGCCAACCACCATCTCCCTGTCCCCAACCCGGGACAGGGAGCAGGGTTGATGTAACAATACCAACACATCCTAACAATGCATTGTCACCACCATTGTAAAGCACTCGCCACCACTGCCACCATCACTACCGATCATCGCACGATAGATCGATTCAAAAAAAACTCCCAAGAAAAAATTGAGGCTCGCATCACCCATGCCATCCCACAGTTGTGAGTCGATTTCCATCACCACATCTACATGAAATCTAAAATCAAAAACCACCACACATTCACCCTAGATCCACACCAAATAACTAACTGCAGCAGTCAGACCACCATCTTCCCATAAACCTGAGTCGATTTCCACCACCACATCTACATCAAATCTAAAATCAAAACCACCACCACCACATTCACCCTAGATCCACACCAAATCCTCGATTGCAGCCATTGGAACATCATTTTCCTCACAGTCGTGCACAATACCAGAATTGCACCGAAAGCTCCGTCGCTGCAGCGATGGCTGTAGAACACGTAGAGCCATTGCTGAAGCAGGGATTGTAAAACACACAGCGTCACTACAACAGGGTCACAACACCTCTATCAGTGCAGCTCATCAAAGCTTCCGATGGCCATCTTCTCTCCTTTCTGCTGTGTTTCGGTCAGGGAATAGAGAGAGAGAGAGAGAGAGAGAGAGAGAGTGAGACGAGAGACAAAAAATATAGATGGGAAATAATTAGAGTTTGGAATTAGTGGAAATTATATAAAAGCGTACTTTTAAAGATCCCATTTCATCAATCATATGCTAAGTTTACTATTTCAAAAATCAGATATTTTGTTAAATAATAATTTTATTTTTGATTTTAATAAAAATAAAAAATTAGTGCTATTATGCCCCTGTTTTGCCCCCATTACGTTGAAAAATTAATGGGTGGAATAATATTTTTTTAAAAATGACTGGTTGAAAAAGAAGATAAAATTTTTGATTTATGTGTAATATTGTTTTATGAAAAATTGTGTGATTAAAAATAAGAAAGACAAAAATAAAATTTAATGGAATGAAAATTAATGACGGCAACCCATATTGTCAAACAGTACTATGAATACCGATGGTTGGGCTTCCAGGCTTACAAGACAATAAGATAATGGAGTAAAAAGGCCCAACCTAACTCATATGAGGGTCTCAAATTAGGGTACAAATCGTTCCTCTTCGTTGCGTATGGGACAATCACAAGTGACCTAAGGACCCAGGCACACTGAAGCATTTCACTTGATATGACGCGGGATTTCTGCTTCAACAATTGCGTTATCAAGGTCTTCTTATTGATTTCGGTTCAATTTTACTGAGGGGCTAGAAAAGGAAAAAATGATGGAGCATGAAGCTAACGCAAACCCTAGTCATAGCAAGATAACTGGGCTACCGCGTAAGCGATTTTATCGAGCACGAGCTCACAGTAACCCTTTAAGCGATTCCCATTTCCCCATTCCGGTCTCACCTAGCCAGGTTGATTATTCCGTCCATTATCCCCAATTATTTCCCTCACCTGATAAATTTGATGGTTCGAAAAGGATTGAATTTGCGGACGTTGGCTGTGGATTTGGTGGGCTTCTTATTAGTCTGTCAACTGTTTTCCCCGAATCACTTATGATTGGGATGGAATTGAGAGATAAAGTAACCGAGTACGTGAAGGAAAGGATTTTAGCGTTGAGGGCCTCTAATCCAGGCCAGTACGAGAATATATCGGTGGTTCGTACTAATTCAATGAAGTACATTCCGAATTATTTTGAGAAAGGGCAGCTCACCAAGATGTTTTTTCTCTTCCCGGATCCTCATTTTAAGGAGAAGAATCATCGACGAAGGGTAATCAACCTACATTTGTTGGATGAGTATGCATATGTGCTTAGAGAGGGTGGGATTATATATACAATAACAGATGTGGAGGAGCTTGGGGTTTGGATGAACTCTTGTTTGAAGGGTCACCCTTTATTTGGGGCTGTTACAAAGGAAGAACTTGAAGCTGATCCTGTTGTGAAGCTTTTGAGTTCTGCAACTGAAGAAGGACAAAAGGTTGCTCGCAATGGCGGGCAAACATTCCAAGCAGTTTATAGACGCATTGTGCCATACGTTTCAAACTGTGAAATGCATTGATGTTGAATTGAAGTGGAGGATGCTAGATCTTGTTCCGTGGAATCTAAACCTTCATGTCCATTTGGTCAAGAAGGTACTGGACATTTTTGTTAATGTTTGTACCTCATTTTGTAGAATTGGATATTTTTGTTATTCTAAAATATTGGACTAATGAAGCTTTATATTTTTACCTTGCTGAGTATAGTCAAATTTTGCCAACTAAGTCAAATTTGTGCATGCCTCTTTCTGTTTGTCTTGTTTTATTTTTCTTGTTTGCAGACTGTTATATCTTGATCTATCATTTAGGTGCAACTAAGAAGTTTTACTTTTCTTGTGTCTGCTTGAGACCGGGAACATAAATTCCGAGAACTCATTCCGCAAGATCTCAAGAGTACTCCAGTACCATATTTTGAGCCTTAGTATATACACAACTTTTATCTGTCAGAAATTCCATTTTCCATGTGGATTAATTAGTATATATGGAAGTTGATAAGAAACGTGATCTAACATGGTGTACCATTAAAGGGCATATAATTTATGTGCCAAGCGGATCACATGGTTAGACATCAATTTTTTACTCGTGAAGTTGTATTGCGAGTGATATATTATTAAGTGAAGTTCAGATGTACTGTCTCACATTTTATAACTTATTTTATGTAAATATTCTGGAAACCTCTAAATTAAATTATTACTATGATTATATATTAAACATAACATGCTACACAATCTTTTTCCAAGAGCAGACAAATTGCAGATACAGAGAGTTGGTTTAAAAATTATGGCCTTGATTTTGCCTGTTTGCTTGGAGATATTTAACGGATGAGCGGTGACAGGTGAGGAGTATCCCTTTAACAAGAAGACTTCAATGTTGATTCATTGATTGAAAAATATCCAGAAGATCGCAAAACACACGAGTAAAAGAAAATTCATTTATTAAACTGAACTTCATTTATTGAACTTTCTCTGCTTATATTATCTGAAGCCTGGCAACGGCAGTTTGATATTAATGCATATACCAGAGCTGATTAGGTTTCGAACTCTGATAAGCCACAGGTAATGAACAGCTTATATTTGTGGAGGAGGTGGTGTAAAGAAAAATGGAAATGGAGGAAAGTGGAAAATTGGAGGTAAATAAAAGGCGGAAGAGGGTGGAACTGGTGTTGGAAGATGTTGTCCAACTGGTGGTGGAAAGGAAATAAAGGAGAGGGCGAGTTGAATATTGGAGGGAGGGCGAAAGGGAAAGGGAAAGGAAATGGTAGAATTTTCTCTCCACTTTCCTCCATTGGAGCACTTGCCACCATTTCCTTGACTCCATTGTCTTGTGCAAACTTTATTTGTCCAAGATGGTGAGATTCACATTTGTTTGCAAAATTTATAACTACGATCATGCTAAATAAGGTGGTAAAATAAAGTATAGCAGTAGCTAACCTTTGAGAAGCCATTGTTGCTGAGATATGTATTAAAGAGAAGAGGGGTCAATGCATATCGACTATACCAACTATTTGCTTATATAGCTATTGAAGTTGAAGAGTTTTGAGTAATGGATTTCCGCAGGCTAGATTGTTAGCACCTTTGAAGTTCATATCAGCTAGATATACGTGGTTGGACAAGGTTTGAACTAGGTGTGCTCATTTTATGTGCATATAGTGTAGGTAGCTGACATCTTGTCTGCAACTCCTCTATCTCGAGGCCCTGGGGGAGGAAAAAAGCATTTTGTTTAATGAAACTAATTTATTGCATGCCTACTTCTATAAACTCTACAGTGACAGTGTCACATGTAAGGGGTTAGATTAAGCATACCAAAAGTATCTGTTGTATTATTTACTTATATAATACACCATAAAATTCCTATAGCATGTATTAAACAGATTGTACAGTAAAATATACAAAATTTTAACTTAGTTTCCTTATTTACTGTCAGTATTGTTGAGTCTCGCGATTTAGCTGTTGTCGAAAGGGAAGATAGTTCTTTGATCCGAAGCAGTTCTTGCTCAAGTTGAACCAGCTGTGCAATAAGCGATATGGGTACCTCAGGCTACGGGTCCGGTCTTGTGTGGCACCAATCTATAGGTCCAAAAGGGGGGAGGAGACCTCCGGAGGAGCGGTGGAATGATGATCTGCGAATCCCTATAGATATAGAGGAAATTCCAACTATGGTTAAAAGGCTTTTGCTTCGGGAAGATTGAAAGAGAAGAAAACTCCTCCACCTCGACAAACACAACTATACCTATTTAACTTAATTTGTTCTGATAAAACAAACCAAAATATTGGCTTAACCGAAAGTTCTAACCATAAGAATAACAAGAACATAATTTGTGTGATCACATCCGGTGCAAAAAATATTGCTTGTTATTTGTGTATACATATGTATAGTCTGTTTTGATAGCACAAAATGTTCCACGTATCTGATGTTAGCTCGATCAGTCCTTGTTGATTGTCTAGCTACCCTCTGATACCGTTGTTAATCTAGTCTTATTTATATTATGGTCACAACAAGGACATTGATACTATATTTCTATAATTTATTTGGTATTGATACACTTGTCTGCCAAAAACACCCATTACTCAAGATGTAAAGTGCGACAATAGCAAGGATAAATTAGCACAAGCCATCTTGATGTTTTGATTTGCTTTTTGATCCCTTCAGACTCGCTGAAATGACTCCTCCTTGCACGTTTGTACATATTTAAGATTTTAATGTTCATCTGCAGAATTCAAATGACACTCTTTTCAAAATTTTCTCATCAACAATTTATAATGGCACAATTCTCAAAGCCCTTTATTCAATCATCCTCCTTGTATTAAAAAAGGTTGAACTCCAACCTTAAGGGCTCTCACCGTTTCGCCCCTAGAGCTTTGCGAGGGAGGTAATCGCGGAATGTGCCTCCAACAAGTTAGGGAACAAGAGCTGTCTATACACTGTGTCTACAAGAAGTCCAATTCCATGTTTCAGGAATCGAACCCCTACACTGTGATTGCCAGCAAGGCGCGAGATAATCATCCTCCTTGTATTAACCAATTTGCTAGTTGAAGCCAAAATGCATGCCCCTCAATGCGTTACACATCCCCTGCTATCTTCACCTTTGGCCCTCGTTTGGCCCCCATTTTCTAGAAATGAAAATGGGTGGAATAGTATTTTTCTGAAAAATGAGTGGTTGAAAAAGAAGGAAAAGTTTTCGATTTACGTGTAAGATTATTTTATGAAAGATTGTGTGATTGAAAATAGGAAAGAGAAAAATTGAATGTAATGTAATGAAATTTAATGGGGGCCAAACGGGGAAGAAATAATTACACAACATTCAGTTGTACTAAAATGTGATCTGATCATTCCCTTGTTTATCTTGATAATTATCCTCACAAATTCTGTTTACTGTGTGATGCTCGCAAGCTTGGACAAATTATGAAGACCTAAAATGAAATTAATGGAATATGAGAAAAGGTAACAATTACTGTGAATATAATTCCACAACTTCCATTTGCATCAGCACTCCCTCTCCCTCAAAGTCCTGACATTCTAAACTTGGAAATCCTGATCAATCCCGCCCTTCCTCCTATGCCTACACTACCCAATTTCTCTCCCTTCCCACAGTTCGATATTCTCAGTATTCTTTTCTTTACACCATGACATCCGGTTCCAATATAAGATTTGGTACGTAATGGGCGGCCAAGAGCTTGTTCCCTGGCACTGGAGTGTTTCGTGTTGTGAAATTGATAATGTGTTGATGCTAATGTGAGGAGAATTTGTGGTGTTCTCTACTAAAATTTCTCAATTTTCCACTTTTTACTGTGTTAAGAAATGAGTACTATGTTGAATCAAGTTAAATATATACTCTCGTGTAAAGATAAGTTTAGTTTCCTTTTTCGTCTATCACAAATTATAGGCAACTTTCTTTATTGATAGCATAGATAGTTTTTAATTTTCTAATATGCCCTATTTAACGTATCTTGTTACCAAAAATATAAACTAATCCTATTTAAATCATTATTTAATGCAAGGGTATATTAGAAAAACGTAAGAAAATTTTATATTTCCAATTATATTAATTACATTTTCTTAATCTGTGTTAAAATAGAGAAAAAAACCTATATTTTGTGGACGGAGGTAGTATTTGCAATTTTGCAAACTCCATCAAATTTCTATATAAGATTGCAATTACGATCATAATATAAGTGTTGTAATTCTTCTACTGCATTGTTTATCCTTTTAATCAAGTTTAAACTAGAATGGCGATTAATACTTCAGCCATGAATTAATTTCAAAAACCTCAAACTGAAACCCAACTGAGAGCATAGAAATTTGATTGTTTATTTGAGTTTCAGATAGATCAAATTTTTCATTTGAGCATTTTAGAATCTAATACCATATAGAATCTTCGAGTTATATATTGTTAGGTATAGAGCATCAAGATAACAAGAAGACTTCATTGTTGATTCATTGATTGAAAATATCCAGAAGATCGCAAAACACACGAGTAAAAGAAACTTCATTTATTAAACTTTCTCTGCTTTTATCATCTGAAGCCTGGCAGCGGCAGTTTGATATTAATGCACATACTAGAGCTGATTAGATATCAAACTCTGATAAGATACAGGTAATGAACAGCTTATATTTGTGCAGGAGGTGGTGTAAAGAAAGATGGAAATGGAGAGGGGAAGGAATTGGTAGAATTTTCTCTCCACTTTCCTCCATTGGAGCACTTGCCACCATTTCCTTGAATCCATTGTCTTGTGCAACCTTTATTTGTCCAAGATGGCTAGATTCACATTTGTATGCAAAACTACGATCATGCTAAATAAGGTGATAAAATAAAGTATAGCAGTAGCTGACCTTTGAGAAGCCATTGTGGCATAGATATGTGGTAAAGAGAAGAGGGTTCAATGCATATCGACTATACCAACTATTTGCTTATATAGCTATTGAAGTTGATGAGTTTTGAGTAATGGATTGGTAGCATCTTTAAAGTTAATATCAGCTAGATATACGTGGTTGGACAAGGTTTTAACTAGGTGTGCTACATTTTATGTGCATATACTGTAGGTAGCTGACAATGCTAACCCAAGTTCCCCCTCTTGTCTGCAACTCTCTATCTCGTGGCCCTGGAGGAGGAGAAAAACATGGAGGAAAATGATTGGTGTACAAGTAGGGATTGACAGAACCCCTACTGACACCTCACATTTGGTGGGGTGGGTGGTTTATTTTTTGACATTGTTTATTTAGTGAAACCCACACCTTTGTGTGTTTTCTATTGGAAAATTTCTGTTCACCAATCATTTTTGAAAAAACATTTTGTTTTATGACACTAATTTATTGCATGCCTACTTCTATAAACTCTACAGTGATAGTGACAGAGTTATGGGGTTAGATTCAACATACCACAAGTATTTGTTGTATTATTTACCTATATAACCCACCATAAAGCTTCTATAGCATGTATTAAACAGATTGTACAGTAAAATATACTAAATTTTAACTTAGTTTCCTTATTTACTATTAGAATTGTTGAGTCCACCTCGACAAACACGACTATAGTTTTATACCTATTGAACTTAATTTGTTCTGATAAAACAAACCAAAATACTGACTTAACAGAAAGTTCTAACCATAAGAATAAAAGAACTTAATTTGTGTGATCACATGTGCAAAAATTGTTGGTCATTTGTGTGAACAACTCAGCTATAATGTATAGTTTGTTTTGATAGCGCAAAATGTTCCGCGTGTATGATGTTAGCTTGATCGGTCCTTGTTGATTGTCAAGCTACCCTCTGATAACTTTGTTAATCTAGTCTTATTTATATTATGGTCTCATCAAGGACATTGATGACATACGTCTATAAGGAAATGATCTCCTAAGCACCGGTGATATGACACATCATTTAATTGGTGAATTATTAAATACATGGAACTTACTATTAACTTATTCACCAATTAAATGACGTGTCATGTCACCGGTGCTTAGGAGATTATTCTTGTACTACTATAATTTATTTGGTATTGATGTTCTTATCTGCCAAAAACACCTGTTACTCAAGATGTAAAGTGTGACAATAGCAAAGATAAATTTGCACAAGCCATCTGGATATTTTGATTTGCTTTTTGATCCCTTTAGAGTCTCCGAAATGACTCCTCCTCGCATGTTTATACATATATAAGAAATTTAATGTTCATCTGCAGAATTCAAATGGCACTCATTTCAAAATTTTCTCATCAACAATCTATAATGGCAGAGTAAATTTAACCAATGCTCACTGAACTTTAAACTTTTACTGCTTACTCACTTATCTTTCACGCATTACTGAATACTCATTCATCTTTCTATATAGTTAACCATCTACCACTCGTCTTTTCAAATAATTGGGCGATTTTTGCGGCAACTTTCGACCACCAAGACTGTCGAATTTTGATACCGTTGGAAAGCCTACGATTTCTTCTTCAATTACCACCTAAAATCTCCCCATAACTCCAAGGGATTCGACCGGCAGATTTTTAGATTTTTTGGGCGACCCTTCCGGCAATTTTTCGACAACTTTCGACCACCAAAACTGTCAAATTTTGATACCGTTGGAAAGCCCATAATGTCCTCTTTAATTATCATCCAAAATTTCCCCATAACTCCAAGGGTTTCGGTTGGAATAAACCCACAAAGTCAGCATCCCCAACTCTATCCAAATTTTCGCCTTTTCGGGATATTGACTTTGTAAGTTTATTCCGATCGAATCCTTTGGAGTTATGGGAAATTTTTGGGTGGTAATTGAAGAGGATATTGTGGACTTTCCAACGGTATCAAAATTTGGCAATTTTAGTGGTCGAAAGTTGTCGAAAAATTGTCGCCCAAAAAATCTGAAAATTTGGGCAGATTTTCAGATTTTTTTGGGCAATTTTTGCGGCAATTTTTCGGTCGAATCCCTTGGAGTTATGGGGAGATTTTAGGTGGTAATTGAAGAGGATATCGTGGGCTTCTCAAAGATATCAAAATTCGACGATCTTGGTGGTTGGAAGTTGTCAAAAAGTTGCCGCAAAAGTCGCCCAATTATTTGAAGAGACGAGTGGTGGATGAGTAATTATATAGAAAGACGAGTGAGTATTCAGTTACGCATAAAAGATGAGTGAATAAGTAGTAACAAGTTTAAAGTTCAATGAGCATTGGTTAAATTTACTCATGGCACAACTCTCAAAGCCCTTAATTCAATCATAGAAATTTGATTGTTTATTTGAAATTTAGATTGATCGAATTTTTCATTTGAGCTTTCTAGAATCTAATACCGTATAGAATCTTTGAGTTATATATTATTAGGTCTAGAGCATCATGATAATATGGGCAAAATAACTATAAAGCATAAATCGAAAGCAAAAAAACACAAGAATTTGTTTGATTGAAGTCTAGACCAAAATAGATGACCTACTTTCCGATGAACATCCACCAACGTATCTTAAAACTAGGACAATATATCAAGATCGAGGGATTACATATAGATTTTAGTCTCTTTTTCTTACCAAGACTTTTTCACCCGTTCTCGATGGACGACCCTCTTTCTTTTCTTTTGGACGGCCTCCTCCCTAACCTACATCTCTTCCTCTTCTAAGGTGATTGTGGGGATGGCAGAGGGGACAATGGGCTTCATGGACAGAGGTGGGAGACATGCAATGGTAAAGGTGACTATGCAAAAGGGGACCCAAAAATTTTCTTCTTTTTCTGCCTCTCTTGTTGGGGCTTTTCTTTTTCTTATTGGGACTTCTCCCCAACAAGTCTATCAATGTGGGATTGATTGATCCGATCCAACTCATCTCGCTGATTCTTGTAAGCAATAGTAGAAGTTTTTAGCTGACGGCTTTGTTCGACCTTCTTCAAATATGACATATCTTACCTCGAATATTCCTTCTTAGAATGGTTATCTATAAATACAACATATCTGCTAATACTATGGATCAAATTCAACAAAAATAGAAATGAATAAGGCAAAGATTCGAACCATTTGAAGTCATTAGGTCGAATGTGACAAAAGGGCATTTTAGTTGATGAGATGAGAGAAGTCGTCAGCCTCAACAGAAAGCTCAATGGCGGATCTAGCATTGAGTTTGGACACAGGCTACAATACAAATATACATGGATTTATCTTTAAAAAAAAACTGAGAAAAATGTAAACATTTTCAAGGGCGGACATGGGCTATAGCACGGTCGAGCACATGCATGGATCTGCCAATGAGAAAGCTTGTAAATATCCTCTATAATCCTTACTCCAAACTGGATAGCTCAAAGCTACTAACTAAAGCTGCAAAAGAAAACAACAAATTTATAAGTATGGAAAGTAAAAATCACAAGGACTCGTTTTAGATAGAAATTACTGTAATCATGGTATTGGGTCGACATACAAAGATGTGGGGCTGAAACATATCATCCTCCATTTATCCCCCTTACTACAAGATCCTTGACCGAAACATGATGCCATTTCTTGAAGTATGGGATTCTTCAAAAGAAAAAAATAGAAAGGAGGTGGAGAAAATCGTACAAAAGTTATCTAGCAAGTGTTTTGTTGATCAAAACTTGAACAGAAACACAAGTTGTTTGTTGGAATTTACTTGCCTGAATCTTTTGACATAATTGAATGCTTAAGTTTTTCACAAGTTGTCCATTTGAATACTTCATCCAAACTATTTAATTGAGAGGACGAAGATGAAGTCGTACAGTTCACTTACGCGTAAAGCCGCGTCGCCTCAGAATGCATAAAGATAGCCCATCATTGCTCATTAAATGCCTCTGTAATGTGTGCACTAAAAATATGTGGCGTGTCCTCTACTAATTATTGAAAACACACAACCTTTCAAATCAGTAGCATGCGTCCCATTAATTTCTTGAGAGATGCTGGCTGTACAGGCCCCTCACACATGCAGGGAGGTTAAATTTTATATATTTTTTTAAATAATCATTCACCCCCGCCCACCCACCTTGCCATGTGAGTGGCCTATATAGGCCATGTAAAATAGGGCTTGTATAGCCAGTAAAATTCTAATTTCTTTTCATACTAGAGGTGTAACTTCACCTTTGAAGCAACATTTCAGTTGCTTTCAGAGGCCTTATCCATTATACGTAGGACTTCACCTCTACAACAACGTCTAACATAATTTTAGAGGCCTCATCCATGAAACATGGGACTTCAACTTTACAAATACAATTTATCTAAAGGTTTATCCTAAGCAGAGAGTTTGTCTCTGCATCAGCAAATCTATCATGCAAGGTCTCACCCTAAATCGGGACTTCACTACTAAATTCGGCTCTACAATGTAAAATAACTTCATCTTATCATTCATTACTTCATCACACTGGCCTAAACTATCTAATTGCTCATTCGTCTAGACATCAAACAGCTTATTGGTCACATAATCAAAGCTAGGAAAAAATTGCTTGGATTTATTGAAGGTTATGGCTATCAATGATTGGCAACTATCAATACACGTATATGATGTACGCTCATTTCTTGGTTTGTACAATTATTATCGAAGATTTTGGAATGCAAATTCGGAGATCATACTACTACTGACCGAATTAATGAAGAATGAAAAAGTGTGGGATTGGTCAATAAATGCTAAGTCGTGTTTGAAAAATTGAAGAAGTCTATGTCAATGGATACAATATTAGCCTTGCCAGTTATGACTAAATCGTTCAAAGTTCAGACAAATGTTTCAAATTTTGCTCTCGAACGGGTCCTTATGAAAGAAGAGCATCTGATCACGTATAAGAGCTGGAAGTGAAATAATGCAAAATACCATTAATCGACA